TTAGCGAAGCCCTGCACAGAAAACATCTAATCTCGGATTTCATTCCTGCCCTTGGATCGAATTTGAAGGTAACAGCATAACAAATGGAATTTTACGTAAATTTTAGAATAAAAAATATATAAGAAAATTTTCAAAAAGGCCAAGCTGTAGAAGTAGCAATCTCTTGACTGCAAACTTGAAAGGTTGGGAAAAGTAAGGAGTATGATGAACACTCCTTAGTCATAGAGTATCTGATTTCGAAATTAACGCTTTTCAACACTTGCTCGTTACAAAACTATGAGCACGCTAAAATTTATGATTTTACTAATGAAAATGGAAAGTATGGTTAACGTCACAGATTCTTCAAGCATTAACCCTGAAAGCGTGTGTACAATTTTAATCGTTTACTACACGATTTATTTAGCAGTCACCCACTTCAACTGTAAAGCTTTCAAACTTCTTTGTTTGGTATTCCCTGTTAAACCTTTGAGTTCATTTGATTCAGGAAAGGCTAGAGAAAGGTGGAGTTAAATGCTTGGATGTCGGATGCGGCAAAGGATTTCACTCAGCTCTGATGGGTAGGTCTTCCAGTTTGTCTAATACTACTTAACGAGTATTTTTTACTTCCTGTTTCCAGCCTCTCATTACCCAAAATCCCACTTCACCGGGATTGATATCACAAATGAAGCCATTGGGATGGCTAATCAGCAAAGGTACAACGTTCACATCCGATTTCCTTAATCGAATCAGTATAAACAGAGACTTCAGAAAGGAGAATGGTCAAACTTTCGACAATCTGACATTCACACAAATGAATGCAGCAAAAATGGATGCCAGCTGGACGGATAAGTACGACGTGGTTATGATCTTTGACGCTTGTCACGACCAGATGAGGCCCGATCTCGTGCGTTTTTCCACTTCAATTTTTCCTTACCCAGAAAAAAAGATAAAAATTAGTTTTTAGTGCCTTAAAGAGGTACATCGCGTACTCAAGCCAGGAGGTGTCTTTGGAATGTTGGAGGTAGGATTTTGTGTCTGAGCCCATAGTAGTTGCTATATACATTTCGTGGGTTTCCTGGAAGTGGGAGTTTAGGTGAATGGCTCATCCAACATCTACAAAGACAAGAAGGAATTGGGGTTGATGGCTGGGCAAATGTACGGATGCTCAATGTTCCACTGCTTGCCAGTTAGCAGCAATTC